ATTTAATATTAATATTTTAATATTTTATAAGCTAAAAGTTCTTGACCTAAGATCTTAGAATTCTAATAGTTTATTATATGGGTCTTAAGTAGTAGTTTGTGTTTTTTTCAAAAGCTTATTTTTTACAGGTTTATATAAAAATTCTATAATTTTTATATAGACCATGCAAATTATTTTTGTTGCAAAATGTTATTAATTATGAAAATATTTATTAAATATATGTCAATTGACCCTATTGGTGCTCTAGCCCTCATGTCTAATTAGGCATATAGCTAATTAGTCAATTAGACATGTAGACAATAACTAAGATTAATTAGCCACTTGTCCAATTAGCCATATATTATTAGTAGATAACCTCTTAAAAAGCTATAGTTCAATAATAAATCCAAATTTAAAAAGGCTATCATTGATCCCAAAAAAAGTTTAATTATTATCAAAAACACTTTATATATATTCTAATCAAATTCTCAAGGCTAAAGTCTTTGTATATTATAAATATCATATCCTTATACTGTACAGTATACAATATATTAATTCTCAGTATTGTTACTAGAAGACCACTAGGAGATCATTGAAATATACCTGTGGCCAAAACTATTTTGGCTTATTCGAGACTAATTACGCATAAGCCGCAATAGTTTAACTTAGCACTCCGCAAAATCAAATCAAAATTTGAGAATAAGTCAAATATTTGATCAAATTAATTGAGAATTTGACCAAATAATTTCAAATATTTGACTCAAACTCAAAATTTGGTTTGATTTTGTGGAGTACTTGTAAAATTAACTACACTGAAATTGCTTCTGTATAACTACGACTATACATCATTCTTATACGTGTAACTGTGCGATAAATTTACCAAAAATTTAACTTTAAATGTTTTTCGCGTATATTTGAGGGTATATCCGCGTAACTTTTTTTTGGCTAATGTGATTGGTCGGCCTGTGTCAATCAAATTTGTATAAATTCGTAACGTTACACGAAATTCGATTTTGATCTCTCATTAATATCTCGTGATCTAGTGACTGAATTTTGATAATAGTATCGTTTTGATGAGATTAGAATGATATTAAAATCAAAGTCAATCACTAGATCATGAGATACCAATGATAGATCAAAATCAAATTTCGTGTAACGGTACGAATTTGGTTGATATATCATGTTTACCACATAACGATAATACAAAAAAATAGAGAAATTTTAGGGTACATTTAGATGAATCAAAAAAAAAAAAAGGTGCATGAGTACGTATCAATTGCGAGGTTTGCCACATTAAAATATTTTTACTATTGTCAGCTAAATCACGCGTGCGCGTGATATACAAGGCGATTTATTCGCATTAAAGTCATTAAAGTGTATTCTAGATACATTAAATAAAAGTCTTACGCAACTTCTACAAATATTAAAGTTCATTTTACTGCCAAAATTAAAAATATTTTTCTTCTCTAACACCACCTAATTTCTCGCTCTCTGTCCAATGTGTCTTCATTTCTTCCAACAAAGCATCTTTCTCCACAAAAATTTGTTTAACCCATTCACTCAAACTTTCATCATCTCCAGGTAAATCTTTAATTGCGTATCGTTTTATATGGACATGGAATGACCATGGTGGGGTGATAGGTGAATATGAATGAACTTGTAGAAGATTTGGTGGAAATTGAAATCCTTGAGCAATATAACGGTATGCAATTGTAAAATCTAGATATAAATAATGATTATGAATTAACCAGAAGTTGTTTCATGTTAAGAATAATAGTGAAGCAATATATAGTACCATAGACATATTGCACATGGGCATTTCGTAATTGACGGACGCATGCTACAAATCCCTTTGTACGGGGCACCAGCAGATTTCGTAATATTGGTAAACCACGTTCCCTGGCAAATTTTTGACTCTATAAAAGCATTTTACTAAGAATAAAATTTGGACCTTTGAACGATTTGAAAAATAAGTATCTGACCTCCAACAATTTCCTTGAAGTCAATCTCGTTCCTTCAACAAAATTAACTATCCAAATCGGTGCTGCATAAGCTTTAATCGTTTTGAATATTTTTCTAAGTTGACTTTCGTCCTATCAATACCAGGAATTGAAATTAGTATACTAACATACAATTAAGCATTAGAAAGATACTGCTAAAAAAATAAAAAAAAAATACCCGAGCCCAGTTTCGTTTAATAAAGATCATTCCCATAAGCTAAATTAAATACTGAAACTGTGAAACTCAACTAAAACTGTCTACATGATAAATA